TGCATGCTTGTGCCTACATGTTTCTCTCATCAGCGTGTGTCCCTCAGGTGCCTTTGCATCATAGTAACATGCTCATCAGTACCAAATTAGTACTGCCACCCTGACAGCTCTATTCCCCTGAGTAACCTCTGCCTATGTTCAATATCAATCATGTCACTCCTACATGCAGCACGTCAGTGCTACTACATACGTATTGGGGTCTCCAGAATCACCCTAACTCTCTATCAGTGAAGTAAATAGCCACTCTCTTACCTCGCTCATTGATGACCATCTGTCCTGTGTCTAGCCTACATCCTCTCCCTCGAGCATCTCTACCCTTCATTGATTCCAATGACGTGTGGTGCATTCGTAGGGCTCCCCCCACTGACGTTTGTTAGAATGTCTGGAGGCTTGACATGCCAATGAGAGGTTCCCGTCCTGGTTACATGTAGGGTTCATGTCCTTTGTGTGCCGTGTTGTGTGTGACAGACAGCCACACAACAACAAACACCGAGGGCCAGTGACGCAGGTGGACTGAACCATGTAGTGATTATTGTACACCTGGAGCCCAAGTCAATCCAAACTGATAATCAGATTGTCCATATTGAATGGACTGGGCCTAAGGCCTCTCTCATTAGTTCAGCTAAGAGATTTGTTCCAGCAGCCTAAAAGGGCTTATTTGATTTTGTCTGGTTTGTACGGAAAACCGCAAATCAGATGTTACAAGAAGAACAAAGATAGTGTAAAGAAGTACAAGCAGGCCAACACATGCTTTGTCTTGACAGAGCATGTATCATGTTGTTAATCTGTGTAACATTACCAGGCTGATTTTTGTATGTCTTGATAAAACCGAATGTAAATGATTTGGTGATTGGAAGCGTTTGCCTGGTCGTCCTTGTGCTTAATGTAGATCCACGAAACCTGTCTGCAGGCGCATTACGCCTTCTCACTGGATTGTAATGGAAAACAGGTGGGTTCACTTCAAAGGCTACAGTCTCTCAGCCAGCACTGTTTGACCAAATTATCTTACAACAGCCAGCCTCCTTCAGCTATTGTATATATTACTACAGTGGACATGGTGAAGTGTAACTAGGGCTTGTGAGCGCAAGTAACTAAATACAGGAGACTACTTTCTTGTGAGCAGGCTAAGATCAAACGGGAGTCAGTATTATGCTCATCAGGAGTCATCAAAACAGCAGTAAAATGAGAAGTACTACCTATCACTTCTCATTACCGGAATTAAAGCCAATAAGATGGACTTCTTAGTTAGCGTTTCATAGTGACAATTCTTCAAAAGATTAAAGTTCTGAGCTCAAATTCCAGGAGAGACAGGAAAAGACAGAGGGAGGAGGGGAAAGAGGGAAAGAGAGCGCTGCTGAATGTGATTCCCAACAGACATCTGGAGAGGACTGACAGTATTCAAGGAATGGGGATCTATCTAGCACAGATGTACAGTAGGGACTTGGGCGAAAGAGCACACGCTGAGCAAATACTGTAGCTGAATTGAGGCGTACCATTTAAAACATAATGTGACTATGGTAATACATTTAGTCTAGGGTAATTACATACAACCATAGAACCAACAACATGCAAGAGGACATAGACGTTTCACCTAGATCATACCGTGAGAAAGTGAATATAGATGTGAGATCCCAGAACAAGAGCAAATACTTGCGTCCTGTTATGTGGAGCTCTCAGGGTTGTTCTCTCTCAGTGGGGCGCCTGCTCCCTCAGGGTTTCCCCAGCACACAGCCACACAGTCCCTTTAGCTCAATGTCTTCTTTCACTGTTCTTCACACAGTGCACACTGTTTCTACGAGACATGAGAAGCACACAGCACAGTCACAGGAAAACAATCCACCTCTCCACTGCCACAGCTCAAACCAAATCTCAACGGAATGTATTAAAGATGGGATTTTAGGGCACTCAGAGTCAGTCTCGTGGGTTTGCTATTGAAACCAACATGTTTTCTTCTGCAAAGAGAATCTCCTGGGATTATTCTATAATAAACTAAAAAAACTCTAAGCTTAATTTAAGCCTAGAAACTGTAATGATATGAAATATGACTGCGGTAATAAAGGATTAAAAACATCCCAGTGTCCTCGGGGGAAATACTTGTCTTTAAAAACAAAAGCTATGGAGGTAGCATGATTAGGAAATGGCACGGAGTCATCGATAGTCTGCCACTACAGGAATCTTGCACTGTTCTTCCAGAAGGAATTTCATCATTTTATGTCAGCTTGATGGAGGTGAAATCCCGACTAAGACAGTCCCATGAAGGGTGTTGTGTGGTGATGGGGAGAGCCATGGTAGATGGAAAGATGGACACCTTATGGATGGATCTATCCTCAAATAACCTGTGTAGCTCTGTAGATTGGATGGATAACAGTGGTCTTGGAATGCACTCCCCCCAGGTGGTAGGAAAATGCTGGATCATGGAACAATCAGGACAGTGAACTCCCATGCTATAAAAACTTGATGGAGTGAGTGGAGAGTAGGAATGTCATGAGTAGAGTGGACTTCAGAATGAGAATACATGTCAGCCATATGACTACATAGTTTAACTACATTGCTTTATATAGAATACTGGGAATCCTAGACACTAACTCGGCCCATTGAGACCACCGCCTGATCATTATTTCCATAGTGGTGGTCCACTAACTCTGAACATGCAAACATTACCAACCATTAAGTACACTGAACTAAACCTCAACTTGGCTATACTTGATGTTAACTATAATAGTGAGACGAGTGATTTTTAAATGACCAGGGCAGTATAGCATTCTACACAGTAAAAGAAAGCAGCCATAAATAAATAAATGAGCACTTGTCTCAACAGCAGCACAGCAGTGCCCCCGCTGTTAACTAACATGGTAAATCGAGGGTAATTGCCTGCAACCTGTAATAATTTTCCCTTGGTGAATGAAAGGTAGTTTACATTTTAACAGCCTGTGATAGCTGCACAGGAAAATAATGATCTGCTCATACCAGGCTATTAGAGGTCAACCGTGCTGCAGTCAGGATGTGGGAAGAACAACAGAACGTCTGCGCTCCCTGTTCTGTTCTGTTCAGCAGGTAATCCACTTTGCAAGAAGGGAAAGCATGTGAGAAATGCTAGTGGTTCCAACCAAATCTCCAAATTGTTTTCTCCCTCTGGACTGCTTGCTATCTTGCATTGGACGTTTTCTAGTCTTGACCTGTTGGATGATTCTAATTCATAAATGACAGAACTAGCTAAACCAAGGCCATACCAATAATATCTGCGTGTAAGATGCAGTAAAGCGTTTCAATACTCAAATGATTTTCCCTCTCATCTCTCTCGAGTTTGTGCTGGCTGCTCCATACAGCCTTGAACCTCGAAGGCTGTGTAGAGCTGTAGCCAAGCGGCACCTGGGAATGATTTTGTCTCTGCTCTGCTGTATACAGCATCACAGTAGAATATACATATTGATGCTCTTTACAGGAACCTTGTGGCCCACTCCCTGGAGGAGCTCCTCCTACGTTTCCTCATCCCCAAATCATCACCACAAAGCTGCTCTTTGCTAGCCTGGTCCCAGATCTGTTTGTGCTGTCTTGCCAACTCCTATGGTCATTAGTGTTGACCATAGGAGTTGGAAAGACAGCACAAACGTATCTGGAACCAGGATAGCTCATTGCAAGACATTGGCTTGACTTTCAGAAAATATGAAAAACATGAATTATAAAAGCTGTACACATAAATCAGCTTGTTTTACTGAGTCATGTTTCAAAAGGAGCCGAGTGGAGTTGGCAGATCCCAGCTGATAAATTGAAACCTCTGATCCTGTCTGTGGTGGTGGAATGTTGTCCTTTCGTTGGTCTGTGGCACATTCTGGCGGCTCCTGACAAAGGCCCATGCCAACTCAAACACCTTGGAAACGCTGGCTTTGATAACAGGAAAAATATTATATTTTCTCTCTCTCCCTCTCTTTCTGTCTCTCTCTCTCTCTCCCTCTCTCTGTCTCTCTCTCTCGCTCTCTCTGTCGCTGTCTCTCTACTCTGTCAAGGCAAACAGGAACAAAATCTGCTGTTTATCCCCATGTTTGGAATGTGTTTACTTTTCTTTGAGAACAGTTGTGTACTAGTGTGATTACAGCATTACTACACAGGTATAACAGCAACTTCATCTAAAATGTTACCCTACAATATCATTTAAAATGGGGTACTATTAGGTCAGTGCACACAGTTTGATCTGGGAGCTCTGCATGGGTGTATTGTGCATTGTACTGGCCACAGGGGAGATGCTGGGTGGGTTGGGGTGGGAAGAGTAAGAAAGACTGTTGCTTAATTGACCTCAACTTCATTGCATAATAGGTCTTGGGGTGGGGGAAACTTCACATTTCCAAACATGAGTACAACCACACAGTCGGAGGATTGTTCTGATTAAAAAACAACAAGACTTTCTCTATAACCAGAAGGAAAATCCCCTGATATCAAGAAATAAGTATACAGAAGGCAATCAAAGTGACTGTTTTCAATGGTCGTTCTCTTTTAAGTATTGAATCAAAGACTATCTGACTATTTGTCTGAAAGCTGTCCCTCACACTCTCTCCTCTTCATCAGTTCTCCAGTTTAAAGGAACCTGTTGCTCCTTGTAACTGTACTGATCTGAGTGGGCAAAACTCTGTTACCGATTTACTTTCAAAAGAAATTTTTGTTACGAGTTATTTCCCATCTGTACGTAGTTATGAGGTTAAAGGGTTTTTGAAAAGAGAAAAAAAAAAAAAAATGCTAGACACCTGTGTGGGTGAATCCAGGCCATGTTCCACACATCTCTGCTTGTTCAGGATGATAAAAGAATTTGGGCAATGGAAAGTGAGCCGCGATATAAATCTGAGTGCCTTTGCAGATGGTGATGTTGACTCTGGAAGCCTTACAGAGCGAGGCCTGGCTCCAGCAGTCAGTCCAGGAAACCGCTCTAGCACTAGGGCCATGTGGGATCTCTCCTTAAAAAAAAAAAGTTGAGAGTGATTTTTTTCACAGCCCATTGTAAGCATTAGAGAAGCAAATAGAAGGCTGCAGTCGAGGCACACAGGCAGGCACTCCTCTCCAGAAGGCTGAGTGAGAGAAATGCTCAGTCAACTGACAGTCACAGCCCAGCTAGACAGCCAGGAAGACAGGGCCTTCTCTCACAGCACTAACAGACCAGCAGCGGGGCCTCTGAAGCCAACTCCCCCCCTTCAGGAAATGACTGCTCCTGGACACAGACTGATCCTCAGCCTCTCTAGCCAGCTGTAAGGAGCAGCGAATGGACAGAACCACTGGCATATCCTCCTGCTATCCTCTCCACACTCCCACCACGAGCTGCTCCATACCCCCAGAAGAGGATTCATGCTGTGTTGACATAGGCTATAGGTGGTTGGTCGTGTTTGAGCTGCTGTTGGTTGGTTTCTCTGTGTGGTGGTGAGTTGAGGTGTGTTTAGTGCCATGATGATGCTGCGTCTTGTTGTGACGAGCTTGGTGTGTTTACTACTGGGCTCCGGATGGGCCCAGGCCCAGGCTCAGGCCCAGGCTGTGGGGCAGGATGGCGCTGCCACCCCCTGGAGACAAACAATCCAGTGGGAGAACAACGGCCGGAGGTTCAGCCTCCTCAACAGTGGAGCTGAGTACGTCCCCGCAGGAGCACAGGACCAGGAGAGAAGTCACAGAGTGGTGGTGGCTGACTCTCGCCCCCGAACCCCCCGCAGACCACAGGGAGGTAACGTACGCAGGCAGGCCCCCTCCAGGGGAGGCTCGGAGACAGTGAGAGGACAGGCCAGACATCCATTTGGCTTCGGACAGGTGCCCGACAACTGGCGCCAGGGCTCAGTGGGGACAGGCTCCACCAACCCCCGCTTCAGGCCATCCACTGGGTCCTCTTCATCATCCTCATCATCCTTCTCATCTTCCTACAACGTCCCTGTCCAACCCTACCCACAATACCCCTTCCCTCAGCAGCCCTACCCTCTGCCCTATGATCCCAGTGTGGTGGAGGGAGCAGGTCGGGGCTACGCAGAGCCACCCTTCCAGAGGTCCACAGGTGGAGGCTATGGTGCTGGTGGTGGAGGATATGTTGGTGTTGGTGGAGGATACACTGGAGTCGGGTATGGAACTGGTGCTGGTCTGGCACCTGTGGTTCCACGCTCCCCGCAGGACTATGGTGAGGATGGCTACCGTTACTACCATTCCTATGGCTACGGGCCCAACCCTGTCGTGCCTGCCGTGCCTGCCGTGCCAGCACGGGCTGCCCAGCCTCCCTTCTCAGATGGCCTGGACCGCAGATACACACACAGCCTCTACAATGGAGGAGAGGATCCTGCTGCTGCCGCTGCCGGCACAGTGCCCGCTGCCCCGGACAGGACAGTGGCTGGCGCTCAGCCTCCAGTACGAAGCCCCCAGTACGAGCAGTTCCCCCCGTTCGGTAGGCCCCAGGTGCAGCAACAGCCTCCCTTCCTCCAACCTGTGGTGCCAGGAAGAAACCCCAACACGGCCGTGGAGAACCCCAGCGTCAACGTCGGGAGTGTCTACCGGCCGGAACAGAGAGGTATGCGCAATGAACATGCACAAAGTCATTTAGTTCATATTATGTCTTATAACAAAGCCAGCTCTTTGTCCACTGTCCTACCAAATGTTTTAAATCATTAGAATGTATTTTGTTTTGAGAGTATGAAAGTTGATCTGTATGTGGTCCTAAAGAAACTGGAGAGATTTGTCATCTTCTATTAAGTCAACTTTCTAGTCTGTTTGATGTGAGCAGTACAAGACAGTCATGCAAACCACAAAGGAACCACCAGATCCTAATAGTAGTGCACATGTGAAGTGGATGATGCACTTGTGGGGTCACATCCAAGCTTTCCCTCAGTTGAAGGAGAGGAAACAAGAAGGGAATGTAGCTCCTCTCCTCTGCTATTTCCTGACAGCAGTGGACAGTGTGAGCCCAGGGGGAGCAAAACCCTCACCACCCTCACCACCTGGCTACCCAGCTATGTGCCTCTACAGCTGGAGAAGTACAACACTGTTTTCTAGAGTTTTTTCATTTCACCTCTCTCAAGCCCAGAACACAGTACATGGAAATCCCTATAAATAACCAGAATAGCATTGTTATTTACTGGCTCAAGTTTTGCCAATTCTAATTTGCCAAACAAAAGCAAACTGTACTGTAGGACGGTTCATCTTTTCCCACTCACTCAGAGGGGATATTGAAACCAGGTGTTGAGAAAGGCCTGCCAATGTGGTGAGCGCACACACAGGGCTCACTGTGTCATAGCGTGGGGAGTAATAGTCTGCTGAAAATGGATTGGCTCTTGGGGAGGCCTGGGTGAGTGAGTGTGTGTGAGTGAGTGAGTGAGTGAGTGAGTGAGTGAGTGAGTGAGTGAGTGAGTGAGTGAGTGAGTGGAGTGAGTGAGGTGAGTGATTGAGAGAGAGAGAGAGAGTAGAGAGAGACATGAGAGAGACGCTACATCCGCGAGGCGGAGAGAGGCGAGGCGCTGCTCGCGCGCGAACTACCGCGCTCTCCGCCGCTCGATCGAGCGCGCGCGCGATCGTCGCGCACAGAAGAGAGAGAGAGAGAGATAGCGCGAGAGAGCAGTAGAGAGTAGACGCGAGAGAGAGATGGGTCCATTGCCTCAGGAAATCAACAAATATTTAGTATGAGCTGGGGTGAAGAGGGAGGGAGGGAGGATCAATGAGTTGCTCTTAGACATGCAGCAGTCCAGCCAAATGGCCCAGGACTCGTTTCGTAATTCAAAACACACTATTTCTTGAAAACCCAGGGTAATTGATAGACTCTGTTCTGAGAGCCAATCGCAGGGCTGGGGGTAGGGAGTAGGGTGAGGGTAGGGGGTGGACACCGATATTATTATTGAACCCAAGTTAGCAATGTGGAACACATTTATTTAGAGTAACTAAGCCGTGTGGCAAAAAGTGACGCAATCACCAACACGTGTGTGGGAGTTTTCTCTGTTCCAGCCGCTAGGAGCCTCCATGGCCTAAAGGGTGGGACATCAGATGGGATCCTCTCCTCTGGTTGGGAGCATGGAAGATTGACTTACACATATCTATATTCCTCTGCCTGGCCTGGGTGTGCATATTATTATATATGTTTTGTATTTTACCTCTTTTATCCCCCCAATTTCGATCTTGTCTAATCGCTGCAACTCCCCAACGGGCTCAGGAGGCGAAGGTTGAGTCAGGAGTCCTCCGAAACATAACCCGCCAAACCGCGCTTCTTAACACCCGCCTGGTTAACCCAGAAGCCAGCCGCACCAACGTGTCGGAGGAAACACTGTTCAACTGACGACCAAGGTCAGCCTGCTGGTGCCCAGCCCGCCATAAGGAGTCGCTAGAGCGTGATGAGCCAAGTAAAGCCCCCCCGGCCAAACCCTCCCCTAACCCAGACAACGCTGGGCCAATTGTGTGCCACCCTATGGGACTCCCAATTACGGCCGGTTGTGATACAGCCTGGGATCGAATCCGGGTCTGTAGTGCCACCTCTAGCACTGCGATACAGTGCCTTACACCGCTGTGAAAACTCTGGAGGCCCCGCAACAGGCTCTTTAATGTGCCATGTGATTCAGTTCCTTAACTCAGTCTCACTCATTAAGACACTGGAATGTGGAAGCATTCTTCTCTGTCCTAGACGCAGCCAACCTGTGCAGATGCCTCAGCTTTCTCACACTCCATTTAATCAATGTGATAGAAGTTCTTCCAATGTGATGACAGTCAATAGAAGCAAAGGCAGGCTGCAAGGGATTCCAATTTAACTGACCGGTTCGCTTTGTTGCCACTCAAATGAATACAAGGACTCAAATCAAAGACAGATTAGATACAGAAGTATTGAGGGTCACATTTTATTTGGATAGTCTGGCTAGTCCATCTGTAGATGCTCTACAGATGGTCATACTATCAACAAACTATCTGTTGATAAACAACTGCTTGCTCAGGTTACGGTTAGGGTTAGGTTTAGAATAAGGGTTAGGGTAAGGTTTAAGTTTAGGGTTAGGATAAGGGTTAAGTTTAGGATTGGCGCTAGGGTTAGTAGATAGTCAGTTGAAATGTTACTGATAGTCTGTAGATAGTATGTAGAGCATCTACAGATGGACTATCCAAATAACTCCACTGGGCACAGACATCAGTTCAATGTCTAGTTTTGATTTATATTTGGTTGAGTTGTCAACTAACTTGAAACAACGTTGATTCAACAAGTTTTTGCCCAGTGAGAAATGTTACTGTATTGAGTTGTCAATAGAGATAAGTAGTAACTTGTCTTGTTTATTGCCAAATGGCCTTAATGGGAACAACATAAAATGAGGATGTGGAAAGAGCCTAAGAGGTGTGTTGCAATAGGCTAGGACTTGTCTTGTTCACATAGTGATGTGACTGCAACCTTTATTTCTATTTCAGATTTACCCCAATATTTGTATTGCACTCTATTCTCTCACCACTCTTAAGCTCTCACATACTCTCACATGCACCCACTATAATGAAAGAGCTGTTCTCAAAAAGAAATGCCATGCCATTGACTTAGTAAAAGGGATGTGTTTGCATGTTGTGTATTGTACACTGTCAGGGAAATACATTGCTAAAGAACTGGCAAAATCCAACATCTTTTCTCTAGTGCCCCATTTAGAATATGATATGTACAGCCTTGTCAAATGCTTTCGATGGCTGATCAGCTTTTGGTTCAGACACACTTTATCCCTCTGAAAAATACCCACTTTCCAGTTTCCGGAGATTAGGGGGCCAGAGAACAAAGGCTTTGCTGAAAGAAGAGGGAGAAGAGTCCACTGCTGGATGGAAAACCTCTGCGTTTCACACAGGCCTTACAGTGTTTACATGGTCTGCCCCAGGAAGCTTCACGTGGCCTGTAAGTCTGCTTCAGACAGAGATGACAAATATGATGTGTACACAGTGCTGGGAAAGACAGAACCCTCACTTGAACCTGTGTCTAAACTGGGGAAGGCTCACCTGGACGTTAAACAGGCAGAGGAGATAGGAAGCTTTCTCTGTAGAATTCCTATAAACAAACTGTATCCAAGGCCTGTTATAAACAACAGTGAAGCAACAGCGATGATAGAGTGGGAATAGAAAAGCACAACACTAAATATCATATCAACATATGCCTTCAGTTGTTTTACTGTTTTGTCAATTTTACTGTTATCAAAATGAAGCAGATGGTATTTTTTTGTAATGGTACCAGAGGTCAAAACTTGGGTTTGACTTTATGTTGCTCCAACTGGTTCACATTTAAGTGAATGTCTGGCCTTTGAGGTTGAGGTAAAGGGGGAGGGAAGGGGGGTGGTGATAAGGTATCCCAGTGACCCTTTCTGGCATGCCCTTTACTGGAAATGGGACAGACATTAGCTCTGACAACTCAGGCCTGCTTTTATATTTATTCTTCTGTTTCTCTGACCGAGTCGGTCACTGGCCCAGTTTAGGAACAGCAGGGTGTGAGATCATTGTTGTTTTACCTTGGCGTGCTGCTCTCTCTCTCTCTCTTTCCCTCCATCTCTCTCATTTTCTTGCATAAACGTGAAAGTTCTTTCCATTTTTGATTACTAGTAAAAACTTTGGATACTGTAGCAGAAGAGAATTGTAAGTCTAGTATTCTGGTGAAGTTGTTTTTCTAATGCTTAGCATTATCCTCTCCAGATATGAATAGTCTGAATGTATTTTTCATGCCAAAGGTTAATATGCAATGACAGGTTCATATTAGGATTAGTGTCATGAAACATCACATCATATTAGGAGGAACAGCATCTTAGCATAATTATCTCCCTGTGTGTACCAACCATGTTTTCACTTTCACATTCAGGTCGAGGGAATAATTTTTTAAAGAATGAATGACTCATTCATGTATACTCCATTTTATGTTTCTTGGCATGATTAGCTTTTTTCTGTACACTAAGATCAGAATCTAACCATCATAATAGTTCCCTTATAAATAAATAAATAATATGCCATTTAGCAGACACTTTTATCCAAAGCGACTTACAGTCATGCGTGCATACATTTTTTTTTTGTGTATTGGTGGTCCCGGGGATCGAACCCACTACCTTGGCGTTACAAGCGCCGTGCTCTACCAGCTGAGCTACAGAGGACCACATAGTCACTTTAATAACTCTACCTACATGTTCATATTACCTCAATGACCTCGACTAACCGGTGCCCCCGCACATTGACTCTGTGCCGGTACCCCCTGTATATAGGAGGGACTACTAATCCTGCTGAGATTATCATCTGGAATGTACTGTAATTAGAGATTCTTGACTGCTGACCACAGGACCCTTATTTCCCACTTATCTGAATGTGTCACCATATGTAACTTGTGGTCATAACGCTACACTGAATCTTTGGTCCCGCTTGAAATGATATTCAGCTTCTAAAGGCTTCATAAAGCCTTCATAACTTCATAAGCACTACATAAATGTGTTACAAAGCCTCTATAACTGTATGTCATGCTTTCTAAAGAGTGTCATAACTGTGTGACATAATCACCAATGTCAACTGTGACATAACCCACTATGTCGAATATGATATAATCATGCTTTATAAAGGGTGACATGTTGTGCTGAAGGATGGCATACGCTCTAAAGTGATGTCATATTACTCACATTACACCTAATCTCATTCCCAGACACTTCCGCCCAAATGCGCAGGTGGACCAACGCAAACTAGGCCTTCATTAGTTAGGGTTAGGTTTAAAATCAAACGACGTTACACCAAGAAACACGTACCTTGATGAAAGCCCCCAACCTAAAGAAATTGAAAGTGTCTTTCTGACGCTGTACTTACTATAAAGTCAGACCCATTTGGTCATTCATAACACATACATAAAAGTTTAATGATGTAAACACTAAGGCTGTTACAGCTACACCAGTGGTCACGAGTCAAATCAAATCGAATCAAATTGTATTTGTCACATGCGCCGAATGCAACAGGTGTAGACCTTACAGTGAAATGCTTACTTACAAGGCCTTAACCAACAATGCAGTTTTAAGAAAGACATAAAAATTAAAAAAATTAAAGCGCAGCAGTAAAATAACAATAGTAAAATAACAATAGCGAGGCTATATACAGGGGGTACCGGCACAGAGTCAATGTGCGGGGGCACCGGTTAGTCGAGGTCATTGAGGTAATATGTACATGTAGGTAGAGTTATTAAAGTGACTATGTATAGATAATAAACAGATAGTAGCAGCAGCATAAAAGGGGGGGTTTGATGGCCTCTATTAAAAAGAGGAGGATCCCATCAGCTTTCTATAGGCTAACCCTACTATATTTACTTCTCAACTTTCCTAATATTAAGCACATTGCTTCTCTTTACAACAGGAATATAGCCTACCTGGCTGGACGCGAAAATAACAAGATAACTAATGTAAAATATACTGTGTCCGTAAAATGTATATACAGTTGAAGTCGGAAGTTTACATACACCTAGGTTGGAGTCATTAAAAGTTGTTTTTGAACCACTCCACAAATTTCTTGTTAACAAACTATAGTTTTTGCAAGTCGGTTAGGACATCTACTTTGTGCATGACACAAGTAATTTTTCCAACAATTGTTTACAGACAGATTATTTCACTTATAATTCAATGTATCACAATTCCAGTGGATCAGAAGTTTACATACACTAAGTTGACTGTGCCTTTCAACAGCTTGGAAAATTCAAGAAAAGCTTCTGATAGGCTAATTGACATCATTTGAGTCAATTGGAGGTGTACCTGTGGATGTATTTCAAGGCCTACCGTCAAACTCAGTGCCTCTTTGTTTGACGTCATGGGAAAATCAAAAGAAATCAGCCAAGACCTCAGAAGAAAATTGTAGACCTCTACAAGTCTGGTTCATCCTTGGGAGCAAATTCCAAACACCTGAAGGTACCACGTTCATCTGTACAAACAATAGTATGCAAGTATAAACACCATGGGACCACGCAACCGTTATACCGCTCAGGAAGGAGACACGTTCTGTCTCCTAGAGATGAACGTACTTTGGTGCGAAAAGTGCAAATCAATCCCAGAACAACATCAAAGGACCTTGTGAAGATGCTGGAAGAAACAGGTACAAAAGTATCTATATCCACAGTAAAACTAGTCCTATATCGACATAACCTGAAAGGCCACTCAGCAAGGAAGAAGCCACTGCTCCAAAACCGCCATAAAAAAGCCAGACTACGGTTTGCAACTGCACATGGGGACAAAGATCGTACTTTTTGGAGAAATGTCCTCTGGCCTGATGAAACAAAAATAGAACTGACGGAAAAAGGGGGCTGCTTGCAAGCCAAAGAACACCATCCCAACGGTGAAGCACGGGGGTGGCAGCATCATGCTGGGGGGTGCTGCAGGAGGGCCTGGTGCACTAAACAAAATAGATGGCATCATGAGGAAGGACAATTATGTGGATATATTGAAGCAACATCTCAAGACATCAGTCAGGATGTTAAAGCTTGGTCGCAAATGGGTCTTCCAAATGGACAATGACCCCAAGCATACCTCCAAAGTTGTGTCAAAATGGCTTAAGGACAACAAAGTCAAGGGATTGGAGAGGCCATCACAAAGCCCTGACCTCCATCCTATAGAAAATGTGTGGGCAGAACTGAAAAAGCGTGTGCGAACAAGGAGGCCTACAAACCTGACTCAGGTACACCAGCTCTGTCAGGAGGAATGGGCCAAAATTCACCCAACTTATTGTGGGAAGCTTCTGGAAGGCTACTCCCCATCCAACCTGACAGAGCTTGAGAGGATCTGCAGAGAAGAATGGGAGAAACTCCCCAAATACAGGCGTGCCAAGCTTGTAGCGTCATATCCAAGAAGACTAGAGGCTGTAATCGCTGCTAAAGGTGCTTCAACAAAGTACTGAGTAAAGGGTCTGAATACTTATGGTAAATGTGATATTTCAGTTTTTTTTTTTTTATACATTTGCAAACATTTCTATAAACCTGTTTTGGCTTTGCATTATGGGGTATTGTGTGTAGATTGATGAGGGAAAAAAACAATTTTATCAATTTTAGAATATGGCTCTAACGTAACAAAATGTGGAAAAGGTCAAGGGGTCTGATTACTTTCCGAATGCACTGTATGTAGCATCATTGACCTAAACACATACATTTACATTTTAGTCATTTAGCAGTCGCTCTTATCCAGAGCGCCTTACAGTTAGTGAGTGCATACATTTTATATATATGTATTTTTTTTTTCATACTGGCCCCCCGTGGGAATCGAACCCACAACCCTGGCATTGCAAACGCCATGCTCTACAAACATCCCTGCTGGCCATTCCCTCCCCTACCCTGGACCAATTGTGCGCCGCCCCATGGGTCTCCCGGTCGCGGCCGGCTACGACAGAGCCTGGATTCGAACCAGGATCTCTAGTGGCACAGCTAGCACTGCGATGCAGTGCCTTAGACCACTGCGCCACTCGGGAGACTAGAACCTACAACCATGTCCTCTCTGGTGCTGAATCACTTTCCTGTTTTAGTGAAATAATATATAACATTTAGCAGACGCTTTTATCCAAAGTGACTTACAGTCATGCGTGAATAAATGTTTACATATGGGTGGTCCTGGGAATCAACCCCAATATCCTGGCATTGCAATGCTCTAAATGCTTTGTGACACCTCAATTTAATATGATTTATAAGGCCTTTATTAAGCAGTGCTTATGCCACCCTTTATAAAGCACAGGTTTATGTCATATTTGACATAGTGGGTTATGTCACATTTGACATTGGTGGTTATGTCACACAGTTATGCCACATTTATGAACCCTTTATAAAGCATGACATATGGTTATAGGCGATTTGTAACACATTTATGTAGTGTTTATGAAGGCTTTATGAGCTGCATGTCATTTAAAGCGGGAACAAATCTTCTACTGCATCTGTATCAAAGTCCTTAGAATAACCCAATGCAGGGGAATTAAATATAGCTGATAAACAGGTGTAAAGCTGTGCTGTTTTATTTGAGGAATGACCTCACTGGAAGCAGACCTGTAAAAGTTGACATTAGCATCAAGGTACTGGTACTAACATGATTTAATAATTTGCTGTTGAAGGATACTATGTGTTGAGCCAAGTGTATTGTTCTAGGTTTGCCAGACCTGGTTCCTGATCCCAACTATGTGCAGGCCTCCACGTATATCCAGAGGGCTCACATGTACTCTCTCCGCTGTGCTGCCGAGGAGAAATGCTTGGCAAGGTAAGATACCATTTTTTACTTTTTAAATGTTTTAGTAAGTGTCTGTATTTGCTTTGAATGAGGATAACATACAATAATGTTGTTAGTAGCCACTCTGCACACTTTAATGGCATGAAAGATTATCACCAGTTTTTGTAAGCCAGTATATACATTCTGATGAACAATCAGTCTCCTCCAGTTAGAACAGATTGAAAGATTCCATGTATCGGGTAATATTTGCATTTAATGTCTCAGATGCTGATCTTTCCCATTATTGCCTGTTTTAGCTACCTGTTTAGTAAAGTTACTCCTTATCTAAGCTGCAGTATTTAAAGTTTGGAACCCAGTTCACAGTACAACATCAATAACCTGAAATCTGGTCACCTAGGCCTGTCACTAAGGCTGCATTTACACAATTCGGATATTTTGCCACTAATTGGTCTTTTGACCAATCAGATCATATCTTTTGCCAATAATTGGGCGAAAGATCAGATTTGGGCTGCCTGTGTAAACGCAGCCTAAGGCTCGTCTATCTAACCTGGCCTGTGAGTAAATGGTTCTCTGAATGGTTGAGTCTGCAGCCGCAGTACACATAATGGGCCTCTGACTTTGGCCCCAGGGTTAGATGGGTACAGTACAATTTGCCAGGCAGCAGACAGACAGACAGAGCATTTAAATGATGGCGATGAACTTTGTTGTTCGACTGGCTCTCCTGTTTGCCCTCCTTTCCATCTCAAGCACAGTCATTCCTCGTAGCCCTCTCATATCCTGTCTGTGTTATCAGCAATCATGGACAGATGACCTTGTATAATGTGCTATACACTCCAATGTCAACAACAGCCATAAGATGAATTTCAAAGATTTTTACTGATACTTTGGAGTGCAGGTTATTATAAAAACAATTCTAAAAGGTGTGTTCATGTTGGACCTCGCTACACAAACAACAAAATCCAGAAAAACACATGTCAAAAATGTTATAAATTGATTTGCATTTTAATGAGGGAAATAAGTATTTGACCCCCTCTCAATTAGAAAGATTTCTGGCTCCCAGGTGTCTTTTATACAGGTAACGAGCTGAGATTAGGAGCACACTCTTAAAGGGAGTGCTCCTAATCTCAGCTTGTTACCTGTATAAAAGACACCTGTCCACAGAAGCAATCAATCAATCAGATTCCAAACTCTCCACCATGGCCAAGACCAAAGAGCTCTCCAATGATGTCAGGGACAAGATTGTAGACCTACACAAGGCTGGAATGGGCTACAAGACCATCGCCAAGCAGCTTGGTGAGAAGGTGACAACAGTTGGTGCAATTATTCGCAAATAGAAGAAACACAAAATACCTGTCAATCTCCCTCGGCCTGGGGCTCCATGCAAGATCTCACCTCGTGGAGTTGCAATGATCATGAGAACGGTGAGGAATCAGCCCAGAACTACACGGGAGGATCTTGTCAATGATCTCAAGGCAGCTGGGACCATAGTCACCAAGAAAACAATTGGTAACACACTACGCCGTGAAGGACTGAAATCCTGCATCGCCCGCAAGGTCCCCCTGCTCAAGAAAGCACATATACAGGCCCGTCTGAAGTTTGCCAATGAACATCTGAATGATTCAGAGGAGAACTGGGTGAAAGTGTTGTGGTCAGATGAGACCAAAATCGAGCTCTTTGGCATCAACTCAACTCGCGTGTTTGGAGGAGGAGGAATGCTGCCTATGACCGTAAGAACACCATACCCACCATCAAACATGGAGGTGGAAACATTATGCTTTGGGGGTGTTTTTCTGCTAAGGGGACAGGACAACTTCACCGCATCAAAGGGACGATGGACGGGGCCGTGTACCGTCAAATCTTGGGTAAGAACCTCCTTCCCTCAGCCAGGGCATTGAAAATGGGTCGTGGATGGGTATTCCAGCATGACAATGACCCAAAACACATGGCCAAGGCAACAAAGGAGTGGCTCAAGAAGAAGCACATTAAGGTCCTGGAGTGGCCTAGCCAGTCTCCAGACCTTAATCCCATAGAAAATCTGTGGAGGGAGCTGAAGGTTCGAGTTGCCAAACGTCAGCCTCGAAACCTTAATGACTTGGAGAAGATCTGCAAAGAGGAGTGGGACGAAATCCCTCCTGAGATGTGTGCAAACCTGGTGGCCAACTACAAGAAACGTCTGACCTCTGTGATTTCCAACAAGGGTTTTGCCTACCAAGTACTAAGTCATGTTTTGCAGAGGGGTCAAATACTTATTTCCCTCATTAAAATGCAAATCAATTTATAACATTTTTGACATGCGTTTTTCTGGATTTTTTTGTTGTTATTCTGTCTCTCACTGTTCAAATAAACCTACCATTAAAATTATAGACTGATCATGTCTTTGTCAGTGGGCAAACATACAAAATCAGCAGGAGATCAAATACTTTTTTCCCTCACTGTATGCCTGTCCACTACAAAGCTTTCCTTGCTACAAGACTGAAAACATGTGCAGCAGGCTATGTAGATTAATCACAGTAATCTGTAGTGTGAATTATTTATTTAACATATTCCTTCCCTCCAGCTCAATTCTGTCTATTTGCAGGAACACATTGTGAGCCTGAGGTATCAGAAACTCACCGGGACAACCCATGGGAGACTAGTTCTCTGTAGCCATCTGTACTTTCCTTCACTCATTGCTATTCCATACTTTGTTTTTGTCTCCCCACAGCACTGCCTATAGCGCTGACACTACAGACTATGACGTTAGAGTCCTGCTTCGCTTCCCACAGAGGGTTAAGAACCAGGGGACAGCTGACTTCATGCCCAACCGACCCCGACACACCTGGGAGTGGCACAGCTGCCATCAGTGAGTAACCAGTCTCCCCAAACCCATATGCTATTGGGTTATTATACTCATCTTTGCTATGCTAAAAACTGTAACATCCTTGCTCTACAGGGTTAGTCAGATTTGCTGTTTCATGTGGCTGTTTAGCTCATTCGTTTTCTATTAGTTTCGTTAGCTGAGGTCAGTGCGTTCACATTTGCTCTTTTTGGTGATATCATGACTTTACTTAATACATTATGTCATGACATCAATGATATGTTTGGACACCCTCTGCCCTGCCCTTTCTCTATGACCTTGCGTTCCACAACGACTTCATTGGTCACAGTATGTCTGGGTTCCTTGGGTTTGTGCAACAAGTCTCAGGCTGTACTTACTGTCCTCAGCTCTGTGGAATGTTGACTTCCCATTAACCGATTGGCAATGTTGCCTGGTGACATCACTGTTCATTTATACATTGGTTTCCAGGGCGGGAGTTAGCCAATGCAACAGCTCGATATGACTGGCCAATGGAAAAGGGAATAGAATCCATAAATGTTCCTGTCAATCCGTGCCCTGGTGCCTGGTATTATATGATGACATGGATTTGTGTTAGTCGAACAGCACAGAACACAGTTACAAAGTGTGCTTGTTTTGAGAAAATAACAACTCTTCCTCAAATTCTAACAATAAACTTTACTGTCCTACATTCTGCCCCCTAATGGAATATTGGAATGCAATGTGTAGTCAGTGTATGCGCTCTCAATCCCTCCGGATTTTAATTTGTGTATTGAGCAAATGTTATGCGGTACAGAACGCTTAGGATAAAACCTTAGAATCAGTGTTTTATGGAGACAAACAGATAGCATGATATCTGTTTAATTTAAATACAGTGTGGATCATTAGATTTAGATTTCTCTATAAAACATTTGGTACATCTCAATATTACATTTCTGTCCATTTACACAATAGAGTGATCAATAGTGATCAATCAGTACAATAGATGTGCAGAGTTAAAATCCGGATGACGTACATGCAGATATTCAGATTATGCTCCTCTTCGCTTCTCTTTATCTCTATGTAGCACAAGCATACAGTGACCCCTGACCTCTAAGTTCAAAGGCCATGGCTACTCTTTGTCCAGGTGCTATGTAATACATTTCTGGGCTTCCTGTAATCTGGTTGCACTGTATGGAATGCAAACACAATCCACTAAATATTTCCCACCCTTCTCCTGCCTGGCCTCCTGGAAGTATTTGTATTGCATTGCAACACAACTGGAAAATGACTCATGGGTATACAGTGCAAAGTTTGATTGGAATGTTTTGTATATTAGGATTACAAACCATTCTTATTCCATCCTACTCCCTGTGTCCTTCCAAAAGTGCATTCTCTCTAGCTGACATTGTCACAGGGGGAGATCCAGGATTCCAAGGCGAGGGAAAGGGCCCTCCAGTCCAGACAGCTCTAGACCCAGTATCTCCCTGTCTGTCCCACTCTCACAGAGAGATAACAATCTCAAGGCTTCCATTTAAATAAACGTCTATCGCGGAAACCATATTTCAAACCCCCATTGCACTGAACACCCGCCTCCAAACCCCTGCCCATAGACACATACACACACACACACACAAACACACACACACACACACCACATACAGAGGGTGTTTTACAGAGAGCTGCCCTCTCAGGATACCCAGTGTGCAGCCCTTTCAATTCCTCTGTGTTTACAGATTCCCTGTGTAGTCGGTGCAGATCCCCCTTGGAGAATCACATGGTGTAGCTTTTAGCCTGTGGAAACACACGGTTCCTCACCTGAGAGGAGCTGTTTACCATCTCCAACTGCTATGGAAAGAATGACTTCTTCTTTCATTTGTCACCTCCTCCATTGGTGGAAAGTACCCGTCTGCCTTTCCCTCCAAGCCTCCATTCAATCTTTAATGACTACGCCAGTAAAAAGTTGTAGCTATGTTAAAACAGGGAGCATGAGGTAAGGAGGTTATTATTTATACAGTCTGAGTCCTACTGACTGAACCAGCTCCAGCTCATACCACACCTGCACTACATTCACCAAAACAAACACTGACAAAATTCTTAGTGTCTGGAATCTGGAATGTGACTTTCAGTAAAAATAGCAAGAAAGGGTGATTCATTTCAATAATTAGGATTAGGATACATTTAAGTGCCTGTGAGATGAATAGGTTGACAATGCACTCCAGCTTTTCAGCCATTAGACGCTGTGTTCACAGTTCATAGGAAATCTAACTTGGCTGAAATACGAGGTCATTACTGTATCTGGGAATCGAGATGCAATATGTTTTTCATTTACCATGCTGCCATTTATTCCAAATAGCAGGAGACTAAATATGACAGAGGAATCCTTCTTATTCACTGTACAACACTGTTTCTAATGCATATTTAAAGGAATCACCCATGTAAGCCACTTGTATTCTCAACATTACAGTGTATCAGTATCTGTCTGATTTATCTGCGTACTAGAGAGTTAACAGTTAGTATGGAAATGATATTCACAACATGCTGGTCTGCAGAGGGCAACAGTAAAACCCCAGCCCTCTCAGGTCACTGTCTGACACTTGGCATTGGTCCACATCCCATCTACAAGATTGTGCTAGGTTATTACAGTAAATTATTTCAGATGGAGCAGCACCAGCAGTACACTGAGATACAGAGTGGTGTAACTCATTTCACATTCTGAGGATATGATTTGTTCTCATGGGTATCCAGGCTAGCAGTGGCAAACCCCAGCATTCCAAAGCTGTTAAAGCTGTGGAAACACACACACATACACAAATGCAAGTACTGACACAGACACATTCACACACACACAACACGCACACATGCTCAATCCTTCACTTATCTTGCGGTAGTGATTAAAACATTCCAGATTGATATGAAGTAATTAACAAGCCCTCATACATCAATAGATTGTTGATGTCTTGCTTCATCAGTGCATGATTGTAGCTATTAATTAGATTATACTCCTTTTGTACTTTGTGATATGCTCAGTCAAGCTGCACCGAGTTTAAGTGTTGACAGGTGAGGGCAATAGGCTGTTCAAATAAAGAAGTGCATCTTATTTAAATATACGTACGGCTTGACTTTGAACAGTTTGCTTTGTGTTGGTTTACTGATTATCATGTAATTATATTTTATGCAAATTGAGCACATCTCTAGTATTGTTTGTTATACCTGTCATTTACTGAATTTGTAAATGTTAAAATTGGACTCTCCTTTGTTCCCCTACTGACTACCCTGTGCCATGCCTCTTCTCTCTCCTGCGCTACACACAGACACTTTTTACCTGTCACAAATGCATTTTTATATGGTAAAGATGGACATTTACTCCCCTCTATTTGCACTACCGACCACCTATTTGCCCCTCTGTCTACCCACAGACACTACCACAGCATGGATGAGTTCAGCCACTATGACCTGCTGGAGGTCACCACAGGAAGGAAGGTGGCTGAGGGACACAAGGCCAGCTTCTGTCTGGAGGACACCACCTGTGACTTTGGTCACCTGAAGCGTTATGCCTGCACATCTCACACTCAGGTAGATACACCAGCACATCTCACACTCAGGTAGATACACCAGCACATCTCACACTCAGGTAGATACACCAGCACATCTCACACTCAGGTAGATACACCAGCACATCTCACACTCAGGTAGATACACCAGCACATCTCACACTCACGTAGATACACCAGCACATCTCACACTCAGGGCACTACAGAGGGTAGTGCGTACGGCCCAGTACATCACTGGGGCAAAGCTTCCTGCCATCCAGGACCTCTATACCAGGCGGTGTCAGAGGAAGGCCCTCAAAATTGTCAAAGACTCCAGCCACCCTAGTCATAGACTGTTCTCGCTGCTACCGCACGGCAAGCGGTACCGGAGTGCCAAGTCTAGGTCCAAAAGACTTCTCAACAGCTTCTACCCCCAAGCCATAAGACTCCTGAACAGCTAATCATGGCTACCCGGACTATTTGCACTGCCCCCCCACCCCATCCTTTTTACGCTGCTGCTACTCAGTTAAGTATTTATGCATAGTCACTTTAACTCTACCCACATGTACATATTACCTCAACTACCTCAACTAGCCGGTGCCCCCGCACATTGACTCTGCAACGGTACCCCCCTGTATATATAGCCTCCCTACTGTCACTTTATTTTTCTTCTGCTCTTTTTTTTTTCTCAACACTTTTTTTTGTTGTTGTTTTATTTTTACTTTTTTTGTTTAAAATAAATGCACTGTTGGTTAAGGGCTGTAAGTAAGCATTTCACTGTAATGTCTGCACCTGTTGTATTCGGCGCATGTGACCAATAAAATTTGATTTGATTTGATTAGATACACCAGCACATCTCTCACTCAGGTAGATACACCAGCACATCTCTCACTCAGGTAGATACACCAGCACATCTCTCACTCAGGTAGATACACCAACATATCTCTCACTCAGGTAGATACACCAACACATCTCTCACTCAGGTAGATACACCAACACATCTCTCACTCAGGTAGATACACCAACACATCTCTCACTCAGGTAGATACACCAGCACATCTCACACTCAGGTAGATACACCAACACATCTCTCACTCAGGTAGATACACCAACACATCTCTCACTCAGGTAGATACACCAACACATCTCTCACTCAGGTAGATACACCAGCACATCTCACACTCAGGTAGATACACCAACACATCTCTCACTCAGGTAGATACACCAACACATCTCACACTCAGGTACATACACCAGCACATCTCACACTCAGGTAGATACACCAACACATCTATCACTCAGGTAGATACACCAGCACATCTCTCACTCAGGTAGATACACCAACAGATCTCTCACTCAGGTAGATACACCAACATATCTCTCACTCAGGTAGATTTGCCAATACACTTGGCATGGCATCATTCATTTGTCTGAAGGCAAGTCGGTGTCTTGGTCTTGCACCAGGTACTGCAACAATGTATAATCATCTGAGATTTCAGCTAGCAACCACAACATGACTCTTGTTTAACAGTTCTTCCACCCCACTCAGTCGTTCTATGAGTCAGAGATGGTACAGGCACGTCTCTTTGGTGCTGAGCTATAGGCATAGTCTGTTGATGTTCCACATTAATAACTCTCCTCTATGTTCCTCCAGGGTCTGAGTCCGGGCTGCTACGATACGTACAATGCTGATATTGATTGCCAGTGGATTGATATAACAGACATCCAACCTGGGAACTACATACTAAAGGTAAGACTAAGAGCAGAGGAAAGTTCAGCTGTGTACTTGGTAATCTTCCAGGAAGGCAACATTCCAAAGGCAACATTCCATAGGAAAAGGTACGCCCGACCAGGTTAATGGAACAAATAGATCTGAAAGTTTTACATTTGGAAAGTTGTCTAAAGCTATAAAACAGTATGTTTCCTAGACTGTGGCTCATACTGATCTACTAGTTTTGACTGTCATTCAGTCCCATCGCTGTCTGCCTTTCTGTGTTCACTGAGGGATGAATGTGGTGCATGTGGTGGACAATAATATTTGTCATGTGTATATACAGAATATATGATATTATAAAACCCTGCAACTCGTAATAAGACTAAGCAATTAGCCTATTAAAATGTTTATCTGACTCGGTAAAGATAATCAAAATATACAAGCAAGCATTAGGCAATGAGTTAACGTTGTCTAGCATGAATTGGTCTGAGAATTGTCTATATCAAAGGCAGATATTTAATTAACATTGTACAATGAATGGATTCACCTACAAGGCATAAAGCTTAAGTTACAAAGCATTAACAAGCATTACAAGGCATTATTCTAAGCATATAGATCCTAAGGTTAACTTACAGGACAAAGCATGAACATGGAGATGCTTACTAGTCCAGAGGCCTAGAAGCCTAAGAAATGAGAATTGATCGTACAAACTTCCTCCATGGACTGGATACAGGATAAGATCAAAGGCATTTCATTCCATTTATAACATCTGAAGGTGTAACCTTTCAACCCAAAACCAACCACCATTGACCAATCAAATGATACCAAGTTTACAGTAACCTAAACACTCCCAGGCCCAATCTCCACAGGGTGTCACAGCATGTAAAGGCTTGTGTGGGGGTTAAGATCAATGTAAATAAGACAGAATTCTGAGAGGACTATAAAACCTTTTGCATATAGTAATTCAGAGTTCACCCTATTCAGATACAAGTAACCAGAGAGATCATACAGACTGTACATATAGATAGCATCAGAGTTATCCTCAGTGAACAAGTTTCATATAGAAACCATACATGGATACTATAATATTATTCTATCAAATTCAATATTCAGTGCTCTGGATACTGTAACAGAGATAACAGAGATACAACAAAGGACAATACCCAAGGAATAGTCAGCCCTTCCCCGTCAGCCCTTGGGCATTGTCCTTTGTTCCTGGACCATTTGCCATGCAACTCCAGGTGTCAGAGAGTACATCAATTGGGTCGGACTCTAAAGCACACATATATCTATCTTGATTCCTCATCAATTCCCCATTGATATCAACAGATGATTTAAGCAGCACTTCAGATGTTTTATTCACACATACAGTATCTCAAGTCAAGATTCTCCCTCCGATCTCTGACCAGAATTCCACTGATAAAAGTACTGTGTGAGTTATTGTTTTATTCCTACCTGCCTAGCTGTAGTGGTATCATCTTGTGTCCTCCTCTGCCTCTCAGCTCCAGGTCAACCCTAAGTACCTTATCTTGGAGTCCGACTTCACCAACAATGTGGTGAGGTGTAATATCCACTACACAGGACGCTTCGTCACAGCAACCAACTGCAAGATATCTCAGTGAGTACAGCAACGTCTCTTTTATGACACTATTCAACAGACAAGCTCTCATTATTATGCCAAACGACCTGATAGAACTAATGTTTTTTAGTTCATTACCTAATGATTCTGTGAATCATGTTCATCAATGTCACCAAGATGAATGATTACTGACGGTTTTCTATTGCCCCTCAAAAGGAGCAGTAAGGCTATTGGTACTTGCAATGGGTTGATTAGGAAGTGTTTTATTACACTCTGAAGTACTGCTAAATCCAACTCTTTTTATGAAAGAGACTCAGCTTTAGAACATACTTTATCTTAGCAATGAAATGTTACAAGTGAGGTGGCAAATCACCTCTAGTTCTATGGAGTAAATAGGGAGTACACAAATAATTAAATGGTGAGTGGGCTAATGCATTGAGAAAACCAAGTTACCCTATGATACAGCAGTGATATGTGGAGTTTTATTTGACATTGGAATGATATAGAAACGTATAATGACAGTATATACCCTCTGTGTATGTTATAGCTGTGAATAACTAACAACAAACATGGTAGGCTATACTCTGACCCTCCTGAGCCCTCAGTCCAAGGTTCTTATAGTTTGTGTTTGTGTTTTCATTTCTATACTTTTTATTTGAAATTCACTTTTATTTATATAGTTTGAGTTTTATACAAATATTTTCCATTTCGGTTTTTTATTGTTTAGTTTCAGTTTCGTTTTGTGTTAGGGACAGAGAGCATGTGGGGAGGCTAGGAGCCATTTGTTTTGTAAGGTGATTTTGATCAGGTCATAGGTTAGGTTAAATTTAAATTATAAACTCAATCTCAATGTGACTTAGATTTAAAGGAAAAAGCGTTGAGACTGGTGCAAAAAAATATGGTGGAAGGAAACTCTCTCTCACCCATGTTTACACCAATCCAATGCTTTTTAACTTTAGTGGTACATATAAGAAGAACAGGGGCGGACTGGGACCACAAATCGGCCCTGTCATTTCTAACATGCCAGCCATTTTTTTTCAATTGAGGCCCCATCACCAGCCCATTTTATTTATTTAAGACCCCCATTATTAGCCAGATAATGATGGTTTTGCGCAACAACAAAAAAAGTTAGACAGGCCCACTTGGCGAAAAATGCACCAGCATAGCCAGAAATATTATTATATTTCGGCCAGTCTGTTCCTAAAGAAGAATCAAGTTAGCTACTTCGCCAATTTTTTCCCTGTTAGCTAGTAATAGCTAGGGATAGTGATGCACAAACTAGGCCTATTTGAAACTTTGCCATCTCCTGGCAGCATTTACCCGCCCGATTCAGTAGCTTTAAAACACTTCAAAAGCATGAAAACCCCATTGAAAACCCCTTTGAAAACCCCATTCGATTTCTGTCCAAATTTTTGGGGAATAAATGAAACTGAACATAATGAATGATGGTCATATTTTCTTTTAGTTCATTCAGGAGTCAAAGATTCTTTAAAAGTAATTTCCTCTCAATCTTAAATAAACATGCCCCATTCAAAAAATACAGAACTAAGAACAGATAAAGCCCCTGGTTCTCCTCAGACTTGACTGCCCTTGACCAGCACAAAAACATCCTGTGGCGTACTGCATTAGCATCAAATAGCCCCACGATATGCAACCTTTTCAGGGAAGTCAGGAACCAATATACACAAGCACTTAGGAAAGCAAAGGCTAACCTTTTCAAACAGAAATTTGCATCCTGTAGCACTAACTCCAAAAAGTTTTGGGACACTGTAAAGTCCATGGAGAATATGAGCACCTCCTCCCAGCTGCCCACTGCACTGAGGCTAGGAAACACTATCACCACCGATAAATCTACAATAATCGAGAAATTCAACAAGCATTTTGCTACGGCTGGCCATGCTTTCCACCTGGATACTCTGCACCCTCCACTGCAACTTGCCCCCCCCCCCCCCCCCCCCCCCCCGCTTCTCCTTCACACAAATTCAGACAACTGATGTTCTGAAAGAGCTGCAAAATCTGGACCCCTACAAATGAGCTGGGCTAGACATTCTGGACCCTTTCTTTCTAAAACTAGCCGCCGAAATTGTCGCAACCCCTATTACTAGCCTGTTCAACCTCTCTTTCGTAATGTCTGAGATCCCCAGAGATTGGAAAGCTGCCGCGGTCATCCCCCTCTTCAAAGGGGGTGACACTCTAGATCCAAACTGTTACAGACCTATATCCATCCTGCCCTGCCTTTCGAAAGTATTTGAAAGCCAAGTTAACAAACAGATCACCGACCATTTCGAATCCCACCGTACCTTCTCCGCTATGCAATCCGGTTTCCGAGCTGGTCATGGGTGCACCTCAGCCACGCTCAAGGTCCTAAATTATGTTATAACCGCGATCGATAATAGACAGTACTGTGCAGCCGTCTTCATCGACCTGGCCAAGGCTTTCGACTCTGTCAACCACCGCATTCTTATTGGCAGACTAAATAGCCTTGGTTTCTGAAATGACTGCCTCGCCTGGTTCACCAACTACTTCTCAGATAGAGTTCAATGTGTCAAATCGGAGGGCCTGTTGTCTGGACCTATGACAGTCGCTGTGGGGGTGCCACAGGGTTCAATTCTTGGGCCGACTCTTTTCTCCGTGTATATCAATGATGTCGCTCTTGCTGCTGGTGACTCTCAGATCCACCTCTATGCAGACGACACCATTTTGTATACATCTGGCCCTTCATTGGACACTGTGTTAACAAACCTCCAAATGAGCTTCAATGCCATACAACACTCCTTCCGTAGCCTCCAACTGCTCTTAAACACAAGTAAAACTAAATGCATGCTCTTCAATCGAACGCTGCTGGCACCCGCCCACCCGACTAGAATCACCACTCTCGACGGGTCTGACCTAGAGTATGTGGACAACTACAAATACCTAGGTGTCTGGTTAGACTGTAAACTCTCCTTCCAGACTCACATTAAGCATCTCCAATCCAAAGTTACATCTAGAATCGGCTTCCTATTTCGCAACAAAGCCTCTTTCACTCATGCTGCCAAACATGCCCTCGTAAAACTGACTATCCTACCGATCCTTGACTTCGGTGATGTCATTTCCAAAATAGCCTCCAACAGTCTACTCAGCAAATTGGATGTAGCCTATCACAGTGCCATCCGTTTTGTCACCAAAGCCCCATATACTACCCACCACTGTGACCTGTACACTCTTGTTGGCTGGTCCTCACTAAATATTCGTCACCAAACCCACTGGCTCCAGGCCATCTATAAATCACTACTAGGCAAATCCCCGCCTTATCTTAGCTCATTGGTCACCATAGCAACACCCACCCGTAGTATGCGCTCCAGCAGGTATATCTCACTGGTCATCCCCAAAGCCAACACCTCCTTTAGCCGCCATTCCTTCCAGTTCTCTGCTGCCAATGACTAAAATGAATTGCAAAAATAATTGTAATTATTTTGCACTATAGCCTATTTATTGCCTTACCTCCATAACTTGCTACATTTGCACACTCTGTATATATATATTTTCTGTTGTATTTTTGACTTTATGTTTTGTAAAGTATGTAACTCTGTGTTGTTGTTTTTATCGCACTGCTTTGCTTTATCTTAGCCAGGTTGCAGTTGTAAATGAGAACTTGTTCTCAACTGGCTTACCTGGTTAAATAAAGGTGAAATAAAATAAAAAATAAATAAAAAGATAATAATTTAAGTTTTTTTTACGGGTTTGTTAATTATTTTATTTCAGTTTCTAAATAGTTTTTTCATGATTGGTTTTCGGTTTAGCTTCAGTTTAAGTTTACTATAATAACCTTGCCTCGGTCTACAGAAAAGGCCTTTTATTGACCTCTCTGTCTCTCTGTGTTATGAACACCAGCCTCATATTGTTGTTTGTTCTGTGTCCAACCTGAAGGTCCTGATTGGACGTGGGAAGGCTGCCCAGCCAGGGTGAGTCCTCCAGGACAGTGCTGTTCCATTGAAATGTGAATGGAATTATTTTTGTTATTTTTGTTGCTGTTGTTTTGTTTGTGCTGTTCTTGGTTTCCTGGGCCCAGAGTGAACAAGGGTTCCAGTGGCACTGAAGAGAACATGGGGATATTTACACAAGCACACACACTGAAAAACCCATACTGAACTCAACACTCCAGTCTCCCACAGTCTCCATTGTTGTTTCCCTTCTATATAATCCATAACCTTCTCTCCCAGACCAACCCCACTGCTCTTATTTCTACTCTGACAGCTTTAATGAGGCTTTTGTACATGAAATAGGAAACATCTTGGACATTGTGAGAGCCTTGGTTTGGTTTTAAATAAGTTGTGAAATGGAGCTGGTGCTGAAATTAGTGGTCCCAGAAGAGTCTGTGTTCAACTGCAATCCAACCGAAAAAAAAGAATAATTGTGCATTCATCCATGCTGTCTGGGAGGAAGACATGCCAGCCCAGCCAGTGGCTCACAAGGACCATTATAGTGCTGTTTTTCGTCTTCTCTCTATCTCTTTGTGCCAGGTTGAAAACAATGTGATTCTCTGAGCACATCTGCATAGTGTAATATTATCGAGAGACTAGAGAGAGGGGAGAAGCCAGTTCTTGTTTGTTTAAATACGTTAGTCTCCATCAAGTAGTCTGTCAACATAAAGAGGCTGTCAGAACCCAGAGCGTTACTGTCTCTAAATACCGTCAAAGTCAGTTTTGTATTTGTCTCACAAGAAAACACAAAGCTTAGCTGGCAGAACTGCCATTTGTTTTCCAGAATGAAACTTACATTGGGATTTTTCTTTTTCAACTACCAACACTGGTCAGATGCCAAATAGGTTATCTGTAGCTTTGTAAGAAGAATGTACATGACAATTAACCCACTGATGCATGGTTTTAGCTATGGAGAACTGTACTTGTTTTAATTGATTGTATTTTGATTATTCTCTTTTTTAATGAAAGGGTCTTTAGTACTGTGTTTGAATTGTTGCTGTATTTGTGAAATTCCAGGAACTCATATATCATTTATTATTGTGAATCCAGATCATACTTTTGATTTGTTCAATTG